ATGCATGGAACCGTAGACTCTAGCGTGATTACTTATTCAATTCTGATCTATTCGTGATAGACAACGAATAAATCACTTTGAAGTTATCGTGCAGTTTGATTWTTCCATTGAAATGAAACCGTCGCACGCAACCTGCCTAACCTTCCTTACAACATGACTACAACTGCTATAGAGATTCAAAACATCTTTTTTCGACTTACGACAGTTGCAGCCATCCCGGCAGCCATCTTAAGGTTTAGCTTTCATTGCGAAACTTCCGCGTATACAACGTTTTATACGTGTTGTTTATAGAACGAGAGTGCGTGTTTTATGTGGATTTACAACTCTCTTCATGGGTTATGATTTCTATTGTGTTTTCTCCTAATGAACATTAATGAGTTTTATAACATATTTTATCAGAATCCATGCCAACTTGTACCTTGTCAAAATGGAGGCGGTTGTATATATGACAGTGAAACAAACAAAGGTTTCTGTACCTGCAAGAAGGCTTACACTGGAGAGAACTGCGAAGTCGGACCAATAGGTGAATTTGATTTCTCATGTTTTTTTCTCACAGTCCGGTTCATTACTTGTTTTCTGTCTGAAATCACAAGATGTTGGCAAAGTCCTCTCTCGTACCCTCCATTAGTTTWRTACAGTGCTACTTGAAAATAGCCCGGTTCGTCAACTGCTGAACTACAACGTTGTCTCGTGTCCCCCCAAAAAATTGTTGCATATAATCAGGATTTTTAAACTCTTCGCTACCATTTCATTTTCCGTCATAAAAATACTAAATTCATTTTCTATCGATAAAAAAAATTACTTGGCTATTAGGATCCCTAGGGCATATCGTGTTCGAATTATAACAAAACATTTTGTCATAATTAATTCATACGTTACTCAAGGCTTGAAAATTTAGTAAACATTGAAACATCTTTCGCGAAATTTGAATTTTACTTAAAAGTAGTGTTGAATGCAAACACACAACGTGTGAAAATGTAATGACCAATAGAATACAAACGAATTCGTATAATTTAGTACAATTTAATTGCTAAAGTTTTCAACGCTTTTAGTGTTTGCACTCCAGCTTTTGTAGAGTGATCGCACTTAATCCGTACAACTGTACAAACTAAATAGTGATGTTTAKTTKTATTTAGTAAATAGTGCATGCCATACGCAAATTAAATTGAATTGATACAAATGAAGCATTCAATACCGTCGTGCTACAGGTCCACTTTTAGTACAAATTAATTCTACTTAGATTTTGTACAGTTGCACGGATTAAGATTAATTGGTTGAATTATAGTTTTTGTCTGTTTTTTTACATCCTCTTATCATTTTATTCCTTTTTTGTATTTTTTCTTTCGTTTTTTTCTTTTTTTTTCTTTTTCATGGAGATTTCTTTTTAGATRATATTTTTTATTGGTCTCGATATGATATACACCATACAGCTATTTCAAAAACGTTGGATTCTAAATAGGGCGTAGTGTATTCGAATTCGCAATGAATTATTGGTCATTCTATCACCATTCAAAAGGAGTTTTGGTGGTGTAAGAGTGACTGTACCAGCCCCGCGTAGTCAAGAACTTCAATGGAAAGCAATTGTCATTTTGTAACTCAGCTAAAGTTGCGTTTACCTGCAGCATCGCATTTCGGTCTTAGATTGCTCTATTCAGTATTTAACGTTTTTTTTTTTTAAATACCTGCATTAGTTATGAAGGAATATTGAGATTTGAATCAGTTTCCGCGAAAGCCAATGAGCAATCAACGGAATCTTTCTYGTCTCTCTTACTGTCCAGGCTTTGGCAACTCTTCGTAACGTTCGTTCGGGAAATTTCGTTGTATCTCGAGTGCGAACAGCGAGAGAGACTTGGAGCAAGTCTAAAAACTGTTTTTATGCTAATGGMAAGTCCTTTGTTGATCATCATGGATTTATCGTTTCTTTTAGGAGGCCTCGAGAATTCCGCAATCCTTGTGAATACAGACAACAATAATTATACAGCGGCTCTTGCTGGATTCCTCGGTCCGGCATTGAAACCATTCGGGTCTGGAACATGGATAAGATGTTTTCGTGCTGTACCAGGGCACTGGGATACCCGGATGTACTTTCATCCTCAGTGCGATGGCAAGAAACCAACTGTGACCATAATCCGCGTTCGTTCGTCCATTTTTGGTGGATTCACTGACAAGGCATGGCATTCAGGTGAGGATAAATTCCAAGACCGAAATGTATTGTTATATAAGCCAATGATATGCTAATGTAAACAGGCGCCTATTTCGGCGTTTTTTTCGCACATTCATATCAAAAGACACAAAATCTCTTGGACTAAACTCAGCCTTTCATGAACAAGCAATAGCCGCGTGAGGATTTGTAACAAGCTAATTTAAATAATAATTTYCCCCCTCAAATCTCACGAATAATAAGGCATYTGATGGTGTCCGCTGATAAGTTCTCTTTGTTTATTCCAAGTGCGYATGGCTTGGGAACATCAATTTTTCTCATTAGACGTTGTTGCCCTGYTTCTCTARTATATAATTAGGTTTTCTCCTTTTTTTTGTAAATAGGCACAGCGTATTCAGAATCAACCAAATCGTTTCTCTTCTCTCTACACAACACCATCAATGGCTTCCAACCACTGCAATTCAACCTGACTGGAATCAAAAACYATCAAGCAATTTATGGTAAATTAKGTCATGGTCCTACTTTTGGACCAGGTGATGACATACACATCGCTAATCTTGCTTCGAGTGGTGTGGACTCATATACAAAGCCTTATGCCTATCAAGTGCCCCCTGGTTGTACTGTTAATGCAGCGTGCACCTTCTTTGCTGGTACTTACAATTTTAGACCAACAGATTACGAAGTCTTTTATTACAAACAAGAAAACATAAGTAAGTGATTGTTTAGAAGTACGCTTGAACTCGTTTTGAGCAATTTTTCCAAGCTCTTGGGGTTTAAAAACGTTTAAAACGTACAGATAGTGTAGAGAACGATTAAGTCTCCATGCCAGTCATGTTCAAATTCACCTAGAATGATATAGAAGAGACCCGCAGCGACGCCATTTTTTCGAGCAAGATTGTCGGTAAAATTATTCTTCGCCCTTTCTTATTGCTATTATATTAAAATATACWCCACGAAAGTAATTTTAATTTCACCGTTTCTGACAAGGAACATCGGAGGACTGTAATTATTAACAAACACATAAATGTGTGAGGGCTTTCGTGTTTTGCTCTACAAAGTGGCGTCCATGAAGTCAATAACAGGTGAGGTTCGTGACCGACTGTTTATAAACTGGTTATTTTTATCTTCTTAGGAGGACTTGAAACATCAACAATTCTCAATGGAAGACAGAACTACATCAACACCCTAAACAGTTACTTAGCAATTGCAGTGCCGAGCTCAAAGACAAAAGATTGGATAAGATGCTGGCATGCTGCAGAGGATGGATGGGATACTCGGTACTCCTTCCATCCACAGTGTGATGGCAAAAGAACCACTGTGACAATTATACGCGTAGGACAGCACGTGTTTGGTGGATTTGCTGATAAATCTTGGCAATCCAGTAAGTTTTTAATGCGTCTTGTCGAAGTCACACTTAGATTGGACTCTCAGAGGCTCTTTTTAACCGTRGACAGGGTTTTAAGGTTTCATGGACAACCSACTTTCAGTACGGACACGATTGTGCAATCACAGCCGGCGCTATATACTGTTAGATTACGTCTCCCTGACAATTAATTAATAAGTTAATAATAGATCCTGAAAAATTTTAAATGATTCCTCAAAGCTTGGTCTGGAAATTAAAATATGACAAGTCATATACCAATAGTGTTAAATTACCAGGAATAGTTTTAAGTTTTGAATTACCAGTACTTTTTAATGTCCAGCAATTTCAATGTTGTGGTGCCTTAAAAGATTTATAAAATGTACAGAATAATCAGGAAATGTTCAAATATCATTATTATCATATCATTTATAACAATTATTTTAGAATTATCGGTATTTTTGTTATTCGCAGATCGTGATGTATTGAGAGAATCAAGCAAATCCTTCCTGTTTTCCTTGTACAATAATAATGGCTACCAACCAATACGATTAAACCTAACTGGCCTGAATAACGAGGAAGCTTTGCGTCAAGCGCCCACCTGGGGACCATCATTTGGAAGCGGACATGACATACACATCTCAAATGTTGCACCAACAAATCTATTATCTTACACAAAACCCAAGACTTATGAATCACCTCCCGGTTGCAGCATTGGATCGGAATGTACTTTCCTGGCAGGCTCCTACACCTTCAAACCATCTGATATTGAAGTGTTCTACCACGATGGAGATATTCGTACGTTTTGCGAACGTAATTTGTGCTCAGATATTAAATTCAATAATTCCAAGGGAATTTCCTTATTACGCTCGWKCATTCAATTTARTTTTGAACATCTCTTGAGCCATGTTCGAGAAGAGTAAATCCGTAAAATTCACTTCGAATTGTTGAATCAAGTGAAAAGTCGAGCCGTACAAAAAGAAAAAATTTGGATCTCGATCATTCGTACGGTTAGAAATCAAAGAAATTCGTCAAATTCAGTACAAGTATAATACTGTTGAGAATTAGTTCATTAATTCTATTAGAGTGAAGTGAAATAGACATTACACAAATACACCTTAGTACGCTCTAATTACATTGTTTTCTTTTTAGTAATGTTTTGTTTGACGGGTTTTTAAGCTCACTACAAGCCCGTGAAACATAATGACTATTAAAGTATGATAGTCAAATACACACACAAGAAAGCAATGCAATTAGAGCGTACTAAAGTGAATTAGTTTAATATCTATTTCACTGGGTTTTTTACTCTTTTCTCTTATTATAAAATTATTGTTTTGTCCACAGGGGGTCTAGAAAACTCCTCCATCTTAACGAATTATGGGAACACAAGCTACGTAACCACTCTAACCAGCTACCTWAACACTGTACAGGAATTCCAGGCGCAGAATTGGAGRCGATGCTGGAGSGCCGCTGAAGAYGGCTGGGACACACGAATGACATTTCATCCCCAATGTGATGGGAAAAAACCAACGGTGWCGATTGTCCGCGTYGCTTCGTATGTGTTTGGTGGATTTACAGACCAACCTTGGCATTCTGGTAAAAGATTATCTGTTGTCTTTTTCTCCCTGTTCCACCGCTGCATCTAAATCAATATYTCTTGTTTCACAACAGCGGGTGCTTACACCAAGTCAAGCAAGTCTTTTCTATTTTCCCTGTACAACATCAATGGCTTCAAACCTGTCCAGTTAAACCTGACTGAACAGGGAAATACGCATGCTATATACAGCTCTAATAGTTATGGACCAATGTTTGGAAATGGATATGATCTTCGTATTTATAATCTAGCTTCAAGTAATACACATTCGTACACAAAGCCTAAGGCATATGATGTCCCTAGCGGTTGTTCGTACAACGTTGGAGACTGTAAATTCTTCGCTGGGTYTTATTACTTTAAACCAAACGACGTGGAAGTGTTTTATTATGATGGCGGAAAAGCGAGTAAGTGGAGAAAGTCATTTCCTGGGAGGGTTTTTTTTGTTTTGTTTTGTGTTTTGTGTGTTTTTTTGTTTTTGTTTTTTTTTTTTTTCACCAAATTCTTTTTACATCTGTTGCTAAGAAAAAACACAAACAAAATTGTAACTGACTATTTGCAAGTTCAGAGAGCCTTACTTAGCAATTTTTAGCTGTGTAATGTTTCGTAGTAAAAACTGGTCAACTACTTCTAGTTTTGAGAGGAAATTTCGACAACAGTTTAGGACTATTTTAGCGGATATAATAAAGTGTGAAGACTACAACTCCCATCATGCTTTTCTACAGATACAAAAAATCGATGCCTTTGATTTTGAACTAATCAGAAAGCAACGACAGATTATTTATAAAACAAAACAAGCGACCGCAAAGGTTYTCAGATGCAAATGACCCTTTAAAGTGCTTATTTTATTTCGAAAATAGAATCAATATGAAGATAATAATAATTCTGCAAAGTGCCACTGGATGAAGGCTTCAATTTTCAGAGAAAATTGGATTTAAAAAACTATAAGGCTAATTTGATGATGTCAAGTGATTGACTCATTGATTATACAAAATTGTGCGATTGTTTATTGTTTTATTATTTTGTATTATTGTTAATTGTTTTGTAGAAAATTTTTTTTATRTTACCGGAAACAATCTTTCACAGTTTGACAGGGGTAAATTTAGGAACACTCATTACCAAACAGAGTTTACATTTGATAGAGCACATCAGATGACGTCATCAAATTAGCATAATGGATTCTACAATTTTCTCTGAAATTTGAAGCCAGTGGTAATAGCCAAGCTGTTATTCGTGTTCTATTGACTCTTTTTTTAACAAAAATATTAGCTTCATAAGCATTTTAAAGTTGTTCTCTTTCTTCCTAAGCCGGACTCGGCCAATCAGCGATTCTCCAAGGATATGGCCGTATTAAGTACTTTATAAGTGATTTATTACAATTCGTGGAACCAGTGGTCGAATTGTCGGGTTCGAACAAGTGGCTACGATGCTGGCATGCTCGCACAGATGGCTGGGATACAAGGCTGACCTTCCATCCTCAGTGCGATGGTTTRAAAAACACAATCACAATAATCCGCGTTGGTTTGTACGTCTTTGGTGGTTTTGCAGACAAAGCCTGGAATTCTGGTAGGTAACTTTAAAACCTTCTTTCTCCGGATTGTTATGATAGCGCTATCAATTCGGATAGACCGTTATCCARCGAATAAAAGCCATTCATGTATGTTGTGGATGACTTGATCTATTGGATAACTTTATAAACTGCATTTAAAACATTTGACACTCCGAYCAACCATTTGATTTCAAAACATAAACGAAAGCCCTGAAGGGATGCCGGTAGACCATGGACTTTAATGCTCTCGTATACTGAGTTGCTCTTGCTGTCTACAGCTGATATCCACTATGYGTCAAATAAAGCCTTCCTCTTCTCCTTGTACAACACAAATGGAMATAAGCCAGTTCAATTCAAGCTTACCGGGTCACGAAACCAGAACGCTCTTCTCGGAAAAGCGGACATTGGACCTACATTTGGGGATGGCCACGATCTGTACATCAAAAATCTTGCATCGAGCAATGAAAATTCATACACGACGCCTCGTGCATACAAGGTTCCTAAAGGATGCAGTGTATCGTCTGGTTGCGCATTTTTCGCTGGGAGCCACGTGTTTACCCCTGATGACATCGAAGTGTTTTACTATACCAGTCAAACCAGTGAGTATAGAGATTTWCAGTATTGAAAAAACGTAATCGGGTGGCGAGAAGACCGCTAGGGATTCGAATATTATTGCTTGAACATTTTACATCATRACATTACTCATAGAGTGGGAAGTGAAGGCGATCTATTGACACTGAAACACTGCTATTCTCATAATATTTGCTTTCCCATGCTCCCTTTCGGGCTTAGATTTCATGACGTGACCTTTTGKAACTMGACCAYAGTTTTTCAATTACGTGTAATTCGAGTCTGATGTATGTACAATGGAACCCCTATAAAACGCAAACCCSTTATAATACGGCAACAATAGAATTTATTTGTTTGCTGACAATTGTTACCAACCTCTTCAAAACGACCAGTTTGGAAATACCCCAGGATGTCCTCTTAACAGGTGCTACATTGTGATTTTATATTTGAAAATGTATAGATAACAAGAGCACTTCAGACGGCATYCATCCTAAWGGCCGATAAACACTCTCTCTCGCATTTAGAAATATACATAATTTACCGTTGCGAACTGTTCCTGGGTATTCACGATTTTTCATACCCAGGCTTAGTGACCACGAAAAAAGCATTGAACCGAGGCGTCAAGGGGCAGTGGCAGATCTTTTCTTTTATGCCAACCGTTCCTTGACGCCTCGATTCTCAATCACTTGGTAAGAACACTCAACGCTGTGAGAATGCTTCAATGATTATGCATAAAACATTTTTGAATAACATTGAAGGTTAATTAATTTACTGATTGATTAATAATAGAGGGACTAGAGAACTCTTCGATTTTGTCTGGAAACTTTGAATACATCAATAAACTGAACAGCTACTTAGGCACTGCAGTGACGAACTCCAAGACGAGTGATTGGATAAGATGCTGGCACGCGGCAGAGGATGGCTGGGATACGCGAATGACATTCCACCCTCAGTGTGACGGAAAGAAAGCCAGTGTGACGATCATCCGTGTTGGATCATACGTGTTTGGTGGATTTACAGACAAGTCATGGCATTCTGGTAAAATAGTCAATATTATGAAACCAGTTCGATCGCTAAAAGCATAAACTACTTTACTAAATATTACTAAATTCTACTGTATTTTGCAAGTTTCTTTGTTTCTATCGTGTACTGATCCGCATTGGGGTCACTAAACCCGTGAAAATAAGTGTGACAGTCCAATAGGCACAAAAGACAACAATACAGTTAGAACGTACTAAGGTGTACTAGTTTAATAACTACTTCACGGTTTTTTTTTACTTTGATATAATACACTATTTATCACTAGAGTGGTTTTCATTAAGCCGTGAAACACACTTAAGGGTATTTATTGCTATTACACTTTGGCTCTTTTGTATTTTTATTGTCTCTACGCGACTATTACGATCTATTACACTCTAATTATTACACTTTSTTTCACACGTTTCGAAAACCACTCTATTTGTGGAGTTCTTTTTCACGCTTTTAGTGCTTGCATTCACTCACTTAATTTATTAAGTAATGTGATAATTATGTCAATATTCTTCGTTACGTCACAGCGGCCATCTTGGAGGAATTTCCAAAAAGTATTTCTCATTAGTATATATTGCTCATTCATCTAACAAGGCCGCCGGTCTTTTATCTTTTGAATCTAATGGGAATGATTGAAAGCGATCGATAGGGTGTTATGACCTTCTTTCATAAGTTGCTAGCTAAGGATTGGATTCTGTAGTTCTCTATCTGACTATATTTTTAACTATTTTCAGCTTCATTGTATACCGAGACATCAAAATCCTTTTTGTTTACGCTATACAACACCAATGGTTACCAACCAAAAACGTTAAACCTGACTGGCCAGCAAAACCAGAATGCTATGTATGGCAAGGCCACTAATGGACCAACATTTGGATTAGGGTATCATGATATCTACATATCAAATCTTGCAGYAAGTAACACAGGATCGTACACGAGACCCAACTCATATCAAGCCCCTGATGGCTGCAGCTCTGGAAGCTCATGTTCGTTCTGGGCTGGTACTTACCATTTCAAGCCAACGGACATAGAAGTGTTTTACCACGATGCCGAAACAAGTATGTCTTTTTCAGATTTTCTCAGGTCATTTTTCAATACTGTTAAATACGTAGAGCACAGAGCTGCCACCCTATCAGAACRGCCAGTAACCCTGAGCCGAGCCGGACATCCCCAAAACCATGTCGCGCGAACCTGCTGGCCAGAATTTAGCTTTTTTTGAACTTTCTTCAAATTACATTTAGGAACAAGCAAAATATCGGAAATTGAAGGGTTGAAAGAGACTTGACAGTCCATCGCGCTCTGGCATCGGGGCTAGTCTGCTGGCCTGTGTTCRATTCCCAGACTGGACAATCACGTTATGTCGAGAGGGAAGACGCTTTACTCTCAGTAATTTCTTTTCATTATAAGTATCAGCAGAAGTACATAACCAGAAGTGTCCATCTCCCTATTAATATCGCCACCATCAGATGTCCCGATAATCTATTTTTAGACAACCAATCACAACGAGCGCACATATTACACGGCACCTGATTGGTCCTTTTTGATCTACTTCAAGAGCGGACAAGAAAGGAAAATTATGTAGTCGATGGAGGCGAACGAAGTGAAGTTCGCA